GCAGGAGCTGATCATGGATTAGTGATGTGATGTTGGTTGGTTGTCTCAGGTCTTATAATCTCATGTCCTCATATTGCTGTGAAAAACATGGAAGCTGTGGAGAAACTGAAACCTTGGCCAACAGCTGTCGCTATTCGAATCAGTCAGGGCATGGATAGATTACTGAATGGGCCCAACGTGACGACACGTACACAACGTCATCCCCGAAAAATCATTTTACAACAGTCAGCCCCAAAAATACAGTAGTCAGACCCTCATGAGAGTCAACTCTGTCACAAACACTCTCACATACACTCAGATACTCTCAGATACACTTGGATACTCTCAGATACACTCAGATACACTCAGACACACGCAGATACTCTCAGATACACTCAGATACTCTGAGATACTCTCAGATACACTCAGATACTCTCAAATACTCTCAGATACAGTCAGATACACTCAGATACACTCAGATACTCTCAGATACACTCGGATACTCTCGGATACATTCAGATACTCTCAGATACACTCAGATACACTTGGATACTCTCGGATACACTCAGATACTCTCAGATACACTCGGATACTCTCGGATACACTCAGATACTCTCAGATACTCTCAGATACTCTCGGATACACTCAGATACACTCAGATACACTCAGATACTCTCAGATACTCTCGGATACACTCGGATACACTCGGATACTCTTGGATACACTCGGATACACTCAGATGCACTCAGATATTCTCGGATACACTCGGATACACTCAGATACACTCGGATACTCTCATATACTCTCAGATACACTCAGATACTCTCAGATACTCTCAGATACACTCAGATACTCTCAGATACACTCAGATACTCTCAAATACTCTCAGATACAGTCAGATACACTCAGATACTCTCAGATACACTCAGATACTCTCAGATACACTCGGATACTCTCGGATACATTCAGATACTCTCAGATACACTCAGATACACTTGGATACTCTCGGATACACTCAGATACTCTCAGATACACTCGGATACTCTCAGATACACTCAGCTACTCTCAGATACACTCGGATACTCTCGGATACACTCAGATAGTCTCAGATACACTCGGATACTCTCGGATACACTCAGATACACTCAGATACACTCGGGTACACTCAGATACACTCAGATACACTCAGATACTCTCAGATACACTCAGATACACTCGGATACTCTCAGATACACTCAGATACACTCAGACACACGCAGATACTCTCAGATACACTCAGATACTCTCAGATACACTCAGATACTCTCAAATACTCTCAGATACACTCAGATACACTCAGATACTCTCAGATACGCTCAGATACACTCAGATACTCTCGGATACTCTCAGATACACTCAGATACTCTGAGATACACTCAGATACTCTCAAATACTCTCAGATACACTCAGATACACTCAGATGCACTCAGATATTCTCGGATACACTCGGATACACTCAGATACACTTGTATACACTCAGATACACTCGGATACACCAGATGCACTCAGATACTCTCAGATACACTGAGATACTCTCAGATACTCTCAGATACACTCAGATACTCTCGGATACACTCGGATACTCTCGGATACACTCAGATACTCTCAGATACTCTCAGATACACTCAGATACACTCAGATACTCTCGGATACACTCGGATACACTCAGATACTCTCAGATACACTCGGATACTCTCAGATACTCTCAGATACTCTCGGATACACTCAGATACACTCAGATACACTCAGATACTCTCAGATACTCTCGGATACACTCGGATACACTCTGATACACTCAGATACACTCGGATACTCTTGGATACACTCGGATACACTCAGATGCACTCAGATATTCTCAGATACACTCGGATACACTCAGATACACTCGGATACACTCAGATACACTCGGATACTCTCATATACTCTGAGATACACTCAGATACACTCAGATACTCTCAGATACACTCAGATACACTCAGATACTCTCAGATACTCTCAGATACACTCAGATACTCTCAAATACACTCAGATACACTCGGATACTCTCAGATACACTCAGACACACTCAGATACTCTCAGATACACTCAGATTCTCTCAGATACACTCAGATACTCTGAGATACACTCAGATACTCTCAGATACACTCAGATACTCTCAGATACTCTGAGATACACTCAGATACTGTCAGATACACTCAGATACTCTCAAATACTCTCAGATACACTCAGATACACTCAGATACTCTGAGATACTCTCAGATACACTCAGATACTCTCAGATACTCTCAAATACTCTCAGATACACTCAGATACTCTCAGATACTCTCAGATACACTCAGATACTCTCAGATACACTCAGATACTCTCAGATACTCTCAGATACACTCAGATACTCTCAGATACACTCAGATACTCTCAGATACTCTCAGATACACTCAGATACTCTCAGATACACTCAGATACTCTCAGATACTCTCAGATACACTCAGATACTCTCAGATACACTCAGATACTCTCAGATACTCTCAGATACACTCAGATACTCTCAGATACACTCAGATACTCTCAGATACTCTCAGATACACTCAGATACTCTCAGATACACTCAGATACTCTCAGATACTCTCAGATACACTCAGATACACTCAGATACTCTCAGATACACTCAGATACACTCAGATACTCTCAGATACTCTCAGATGCACTCAGATACTCTCAGATACTCTCAGATGCACTCAGATACTCTCAGATACACTCAGATTCTCTCAGATACACTCAGATACTCTCAGATACTCTCAGATACACTCAGATACACTCAGATACTCTCAGATACACTCAGATACACTCAGATACTCTCAGATACTCTCAGATGCACTCAGATACTCTCAGATACTCTCAGATGCACTCAGATACTCTCAGATGCACTCAGATACACCTTTGGATCCTGCAACATATTCTCTGCGTCTTCCTCTTCTTGCTGTCGTTCTGTCTCACGCTGATGTTTGGTGTCAGCCTGTTATCTTCCTCCGTATCTTCTCCCTCTGTAAATGATGTGTCTCCACCTCTGGCTGCAGCCGAGCTCTCTCCACTCAGACACATGACCGAGGGTCAGATTTATGTCTAAGGTCGCCCAGGATGCTGCGTGTCTCAGAGACGGACAGATCGCTGTAATTTACTGAGAACTAACACTGAATCTGGTTTACTTCACACAGGCTGTGTGTGTGTGTGTGTGTGTGTACATGTGTGGTCATGTGGGACAGTCTGACTCCCTCTCTGCTCTGTCAGTTATCACCTGAGTGTGTGTGTCTGTGATTTAGTGTATCAGTACATTTGAGGATCAGTTAGCTCTGTGAGGACAGAGGACGAATTTTAAGCTGTCTTCAGATGATGATGATGATGAGGAGGAGGAGGAGCTGAGTGGGGTCACTGGCAGTGGTCAGGAGTGTGGTGTAACAAAGGGAAGTCATTAGAGTAAATGATGTATTAGAGTAATGACTCAGAGCCTGAGGCATCAAAAAGAAGAGGAACTCAGCAGCTCGGCATTGAAGGTGATGAGCGGCCTTGATGCTGCTTAATAGATTAATAGATTATTCTTGTGGCACTATGTGCTTCATGTGCACTGTGTGTGTGTGTGTGTGTGTGTGTGTGTTTGTGTGTGTGTGTGTGTGTGTCTGAGCTGTAATGAAATCTTTAGTGTTTAAATAAAGTTGTGGTTTTGAATGAACTCTTCACATTCATGGTTCTGAAACCTGCGGCGGCTTCATGTGGCATCGGCAGACGCGTCTTTACATCACGATTCAAAACCTCCACATACTCAGAGTGAAGTACAAGATATTCTTTATGATATCATACTGATTAATAATGTTTATAATAATCCAGCTGTAACCATGGAAATGCTCAATAACAACCATTCAAACAGTTTCTTCACTGTCGGCCGCATTTTATTTATCCAGCGTCCCACAGATGTGATGATTGAGATCTGAAATATTTCAGATAAAGTTCTGCTGTGTTTTAGAGAAATGACATAAACACTTTTTTACACACAAACTGACTTTCAGAACATTTTTACAAAATGATAAATAATGGAAAGGTTTGGTGATAAGACAGGTACATCATACTTATATCTTTTTGCCTGTAACCTGACTTACTGTACACATCCTCGCGTCATTGGGATTCTGTCTTCTTTTGGTTGTATTGTTTTGTTTTTTAAAGATTATTTTTATGGGCTTTTTGCCTTTATTGACAGGACAGAGAGTGAAATGGGGAGACAGAGAGAGAGTGGGGACTGACATGCAGCAAAGGGCTGCAAGCCGGATTCGAACCTGTGGCCGCTGCAGCGAGGCGATGCCTCTGTACGTGGGGCGCTGGCACTATCCACTACGCTACCGATGCCCCTTTTAGTTGTATTGTTTGTAATAACAATATAATAACAGTGATAATAATAATGAACAATGAAGTACATATTTACATTTTAGGCATTTTTTTTATGCAGGTTCTAGAAGCCATGGTAGGAGTTCAGGAGGGTGTGTAGATATGAAGGAGTTCAGACAGGTGGGAGGAGGCGGGGCTCTGAATGGGGCGTGGTTGTGAGTGGGCGTGGTTATGGAGTGCCTTACAGGTGAGGAGCAGAATCTTTAACAGGAAGTCAGTGAAGCTGCTGGAGAACAGACGTGATGTGATCTATGGAGGGAGTTCTGGTGATGATACGGGTGGGCGGAGTTTATGACGACACCTGAGAGGACAGAGCGGCACTTTGACACACTTTAAGAATATACTTTAAAGTTTCAGGAAGGTGTCAGACTCACCTGATGATCAAACTCTTTGACTCTTAATGGCCTTCAGAGGTTCAGACCTTCAGCCGCTCACATGATCTGTGTTGAGGCTCTCGATCTGTAGAGGCCTATACTAACATGGCGTACATCTGTGCAGCAGCTCAGACTGTGACCTCCATGTTTAACCCCTCCTCCTCCTCTCCTCCACAGAATGATGTCTTCCATGCGAGCAACGCCTCCCTTCCACCCACCGTCTGAGGAAGAGGAAGCGATGGGTCAGGACAATGTGGCCTGGGCCGGTGACGAGCGAGAGGGCCCGAAGGAGACGCCATCTCCCTCTTCTCATGAGCGGCCCCACCCTGACGAGCTACAGCCAATCAGAGAGAAGCTGACGGAGGCTGAGTGGGAGAACACGGCGCCTGCTGCGATGGTGAGCTGATGGACTGACCATATCTTAGCTTCAGACGTGATGCTATAACTCAGATGTGTAGTGGTGAACGTGTGTGTGTGTGTGTGTGTGTGTGTGTGTGTGTGTACACACACACAACTCATAAAACACGGTGAAACACACGCAGAGCTTCATACATAATGATGGCGGTGCACGACGCTCTCTCTCACACACAGCAGTGGTCGTCTGTGGTCTGTGTGCTGCAGGCGCTGCTGCAGGCTGCCCGGTGAGGCTTCTCCTCCTGAGAGCACTCGCCTCGCTGCTTCTCATCTCCACAGCCTGGTTTCATGTGTGTGTGTGTGTGTGTGTTACACTGCTGCAGGTTGTGTTGGTCCCTGATGGACGAGCTGTGTTTGACTTCAGCCTCTGAGGAAAGAGGAAACTTCTGAGAATAAAGTTTCCTCAGGTATCAGTGTGGAGGCAGAATACATTTAACATTTCACAAACTGCGGTCACGTTCATATTTTAACACTCACACGAAAACATGATCAGATTTATCTCTTCTCATTTTCAGATTATAACTCTGTTAGTTTGAACCAATGTCAGCACGTGATATGAACTCTGAAGTCAGTTAGATGTCATTGTCAACGTCAACGTCAACGTCATCTGTATTTCATTAGTAAAACTGTGCAATCATCGTTGTGTTGTCCTGAACAAATCTCATGCTGCACTCTTTGTGTCTCCACTGCTGTGTGACCTTCAGCAACATACGGTCACACACATGTAGTGCAACCATCAGACAACAAATGTCCGAGTACACAGCGTCCAATCAAATCGTCAGCTTTGGTCAATGTTATATTTTGTCAGTTGGTCATTAATATCTGCTCCTTCAGCAGACTGATGATTCACCTCATCACACAGGATTAAAACCTACATTGTGTGGCCCTGCAGCAGACTGACAGAGTTTTCTGTTCTGAGTCAGAGAGGTTGAAGGCACCCTGGTTGAGGGCAGGGTTCCTGCTGGTCCTTGAAAAGCCTTAAAAATATTGAATTTATTAATGTAAAGAAAAGAAAAGACCTCATCTGGTATTAAAATGTATTAAAGTATTTCACAGCTGTAAAGACGCTGTTGTGTCTGCAGCAGAGAGACACACATGATTTTCAAACTGGTGCTACATGAGAAATTACTGTGGCAAAACTACAACTACCAGAATGCACTGCACCACACAGGACCAATCAACACCCCCGTAATGAGAACTCATCCATTTGACACAGTGACCAGCCGGTGACAAACGAGCACCAATGCTTCTCTAACATCTGTTTCTGAAACAGGCGACATGTTTTTTTTATATCTGATATTTGATTGATTTATTTTTTGGTCCTGACTGTGAGCAGACTGCAGGTGACAGGCTGAAGGCAACCAGCACGAGCCAATCAGAGGGAGAGTAGGGCGAGTCGTTCCTTTACTGTACACACAGAAATGGAGCGAAGATGCACAAGTTCATTCTGTAGTTCACGGCGATGCGTCACAGGCTCAGAGGACTGAGAACACAGAACAAACCTCGGTCCTGTTGAACCGTCCCTGTCTCTCAGGAACTGATGTTCTTGGTTATTGTGAAATTGGTATTAAATTTGATTCTGAGTGGTGTTAGAAAGTCTTCAAAAGTCCTGAGCTGTGTGAGGCTGGAGGAAGCTTGTGAAGAGGCGACAGTGAGAGACGAGCTGAGGACAGAGAAGGTGAAACACCATCCTGCTTGTCTTTGTCTCTCCAACACTAAGGGACAGTTTAAAGCTCATGTCTGTGAGATGCTGGCCAGAGAGTGAAGGTCACTTTTTAAAGACAGATTTTTATGTCTTGGATTCCAAAAGTTGTCTCTGTGAAGACACACCACACACCGTCCTCCCCTCTGTGTGTGTAACACTCATCTGAAAAGCTTCAGGGAACAGACAGTTCATGAAGTGACCCCAGCTTTTAATGCGCCTCGTCAAATATTTCATTTCCACATCTCAGCATAATGCCTTTGTGTTCAGAGAGAGTGCCTTGCTCAAGGACAGCTGACATCACTGAGGGTGGTCACGGACAGTCATTGTCTGCCGCTCACGCTGAATGTGCGACCTTTGGGTTGATGATATGATCCGACCACCAGGCCATCCTGCTTGTGTAAGTCCTCGGCAGCATTATGAACACACCTGAACAATCCGCCAGTGACACGCCATCTTCTAATCCTCATTACAGAGGCATCTTCTGCTTAAAGACAAAGTGCACAACAGGGCCTCCTGGAGCCATTTCAAGGGCGTCTTAAGATCCCGCTGTTAGTTAAAGCCCCTTGTCTTTGAAACATAAGCCTCCTAAAGTTCTCGGAGATCCCCCCGATCTATAAGGGGAGGAGAAAGCCTCCACAAATAGCCGCAGTGTTACAACACCTGTGCTCAAGTGTCTGTTGTGTGGGACAATGTGGTCGTCTTGAAGGGCTTATCATCTTCTGGGTAAATATAGACTCACTTAACCCGACAGAGCGAAGAGCAGCGGGACACAGATGCTGCACTCAGACAGCACAGAACAGATAAAGTTCCTCCTGCTGCTGTCCAGAGTTCCTAAACCAACTGTTTTATGATTTTAATACCAACAGAGGTCCAGACTGCTCAAACTCTGTGTTCAGTACAAGGAGGAAACATGACAAAAGATTTATGCTGATTGTTCTGATGTCTTTAACTATGGCGCAGACTTGACAACAGGAGTTTATGATATGTTTTTATATAAAATGTTTTATTTCCACTGGACATGTGTTCATAACTTTAATATTTAGTTTGTCATGAGTTCATAGAAACTGTGTAGATCTGAGACACAGACATGATCTTATCAGACTTTATATCTGAGATATTCCTCAGCCTCTAACCTGAGTCTTTCCTCTGCAGGACAATGAGAGCAGTAAAGGCTGCTCCGTCTACTCCTACCAGACTAACTCTACCTCTCCACCCAAGCCAGAGGAGTGTTCCAGGGATCGCGGGGAGCCCATGAGCGGCCTCGCCTTCGGGACGCCGGAGCGCCGTAAAGGAAGCCTGGCAGACGTGGTGGACACACTGAAACAGAAGAAACTGGTGGAGCTGACCAAGACAGAACAAGACGGTGAGTGTTTGTGTTCATGTCTGCGTCATGTCCCAGCTCCCTGTTCATGTCTGTGTCATGTTCCAGCTCCATGTTCATGTCTGCGTCATGTCCCAGCTCCATGTTCATGTCTGCGTCATGTTCCAGCTCCATGTTCATGTCTGCGTCATGCTACTGAGTCGAGGTCACCAAATTGTTTGTTGTCGTGTGAAAATCTCGCTGTTCAAAATAACTACAGCTGCAGTTTGTAAATGATTGAAAGAAGGTGGAGCAACGAGGATAGTTCTTCCTGTGATGTCATGTGATGATGTGTCTGCCACCAGTTGTGACTGAAGTTTTAAGTTTGTACTCTGGACTCAGCAGAATTGATTTGCATCATGAAACAGAGAAGTAAAGCAGTCGGACAGAGAAACAAGGAGAACTAGAGGTGTGAATGAAACTAAGCAGAAGGTTTAACCATGTGTCGTGTTGGCTTTTTAACAGCAGTCTCAGTTCAGAGCTGACTTGCTGTGTTTGATGGACGCGCTGCAGTCGTAGTTCATTCTCTCTTCACTCACACATGAAGCTCAGTCTTACCTGGAGTTTGTTTTCGGTCTCCGAACACATCCTCTCCTCACCATCTTTGAACATCTAAAATTACAGCTGACAGATCCTCTGCTCGTTAGATCACAATATCAATCAGTGAAAACACAGGTTTCCCTTTCTCCTTTCTCCTGCGCTCCTCTGATCTGATCTCCCAGCATGCCTCAGCCTGCCCCCTCTCACCCCACAGCTAGTCAGATGTGAGAGCATCTAACAGCCTCTTTACTGATGTGTGCACGCAGTAATCAGGACGATGTGAGAGCGGCGCTTTATGTCTCTCATTTAAAGCTCCGACGTTGTTATTGATACATAAAGAGGGACAGCCGGAGGCAGGAAAAGCGCACGTGTGTGTGTGTGTGTGTGTGTGAGTGTTGTAACATCTTCCTGTCAAATCAAAGGGGACGTGAGTGGGAGGAAATGCTCGGGGACAACTTGAAGTGTGTGTGTCTTCTTTTCATGTGTTTTCCTTCACATGTCTGAGTGTCCTGTAACGGAGCTCGACCCCGCTCAGCTTCTGCTCGCTCTCTCTCTCTCTCTCTCTCTTCTGTGCACAAACACTCCTGCAGTTTGTTTTCTGATGATCCGTCACAGTGGACTCTGGGCCGCACCCGGCACACTCTGCGTCCTGGTGCCCAAAGCCCTTGGAAAAAAATCCATTTTATTATTAGATTAATTACTAACAGTGAGCTACTGAGAAATGATCCTAAAATAGACGCAGATAACAAACACTAATAAGAAATCACAAACCATAAGAGAAAACAAAACGTCCAACTGAGCAAATCTCTCCTCCTTGTTTTTGTGCTGCTGACGGTTTTATCTTCTCACCCTCTCCGCTCACACACTTCACCACATCGTTTCCCTCAGAATCCATTTTTTAATGCTTCATTTAATTCTGTTTTTTTAAGTCCATTATTTGTTTTTTAAGGATTGTTTTATTTGTCATGGTGTGCAGGTCTCTTATTGGACGGAGAAATATTTAACCTTTTTAACTGAATAAGTAAATCACACTGTACAAGTCTTATTTCACTCTGGTGCTCAACATCATGTGACTCGTGGCTTCTTTTAGAGGAGGCGTGTGTGTTACCTGTCTCTTTTTGCCTCCACAGTTTATTTATTAAAACACTGTCACCAGAAGAAGAAGAAAGGATTTTGATATTAAAAAGAAGACAAAGAGCAGATTTAGTAAATCTTCACTGTGTCAGAGATCATGGACGTATGATGTGTTCAGATTCAGAAAACAGGAGCTTCTCTTATTGATGACTGAAGGTATATTTTTTAGCTTCAAAATAAAACCTAACCACAACCATCATTTTGTTAATTAAAAAAAATTAACCTTTATTTAACCAGAAAAAACATCTTGAGATTAGAAATGTATTTTACCAGAGACAGACAGCAACATCAGTTACAAAATCTACAGCTCTAAAACAAATAATATAAATTATTACAAAGAAAAGACAGTGTGATCATTTCTGCTGTACGTGAACCATAAAACATAAAACAGGGATCACTGCACATGATCTCAAAGAGCAGCTAAAATCCACCCTGACAATAACATACAGATGAAACATCTGAGAGGAACCGCTGAGAGAAACTTTACGTCCTTCTGAGGAAGAGTCAACAGATGAAGAGTCAAATGAAACTTGAGAAAAGAGAAGCTGAAGATGTTCCTGGAGACAAACACACCCACAGAAGGTTTCACACACACAGATCCTTCAGCAGCAATACGTCCTGAAATATTTCAGTGATGCCTCAGAGGCGACTCGCACTTCCTGTGCAGTTTTTCTCTTCTTCTTTAGGGTTAAAAAAAACACACAGCTTCATTGAGTCGGGCTCTTCCTTTACTAATTAGCAGCATCGCTGTCCCCGAGGACTCGTGGCATTGATCACTAAGCAAAGACAAAAGGAAGGAGATAAACATGTGGCGTATAACCAGGCTCACACAGATTCACACAGTGAGAGCATGAATAATAACTCGTTCATGTGAAACGCTGCGGTCCTTGAAGATGTATTGTGCAAGCGTCTGTAACCCTTCGTACGGAGCCTGACGGCTTTCCTCCCCCTAATGAGCTGAGTTAAAACGGGAGCTGATCAATAGATGCTTCGTTAAGTGAGTTCTCCTTCAGCGACAGACGCTGAACGCCATGAAGCTCCACGCCCTGTTTTATTTCTCATGTGTTGAGATAAAGCTTCCTGGTGTCATGACGGCGTCCCCTCCTGCGCTGTACAACCATGTGATTACTGTTTCTATCCTTCAACTCCAGGAGCCTCTGAAAAACATTTGGGGAGTTGCTCTTCAGCAGGCAGCCCCGCTTTTTGTTGTGTGTCGCTGGGAGAGGCGAAGCTTTCCAAATTCATAAGCTGGCACATTTTTGTATTTTGTTAAAGGAATATAATGCAGACGGGAGTTCAAGGCCAGCCTGGTAAATAGGCTCACACAGATTCCTGGTGTGGCGCCGATGACAGATGACGGCAGAAAGCTCGGCAGGTTTATTTTTTCTCTGACTCTTCAGTGGCGTGTGTTCACTTAGACCGACACTTAAAACGCCGTTTTGTTCAGAAACCACCAGATTTGATCATCGGCACTCAAATGGCGAGCACATTAAAGGCCGAACAATGGCGTCGGCCGCCTCGTCCTCCACCTCCTGCTGAAAGCGGTTCAGTCAGCTGAGCTCTCCCAGGTTACAGCCGCTGTATGATCAAATGGAACGCAGCCTATTAGCCACTGAGCGCTCACTTAGCCCAACGCCGCTGACCCCTGCGTGCTCTGTAGCCCTGAGCTAAAGTGTGGATGATGTGGTTGTTAGCCTTCGTGCAGCGCTCACCCCCTGTCGGCACGCTGTTAGCTGTCGGCCGCTCACAGGAGACCTAAGTGCCTGTGACAGTTCTAATGAATAGACATGGCCTCACTTTGCTTTTTCTCTTCAGCCAACTGCCGCCTCAGCTTTTAAAAGCTTCATCAACAAGTCTTTAAGATTGTGTCAGCGCGGCGTGCGTTAGAGACGTCCTCTCTGCATGGACTTGACAACGTGTGAGTCCAGAGGGTGAAGGTCCAACTCTTTCCTCACAGTTTAGCGTTTATGTCGAGCTGTGGCTTCATTGTGTGACGGTTTGGATACAAAGGCTTCTGCATACAAAGACTTGCTCCACAACGTTAAAGCACTTAGTACTTATTAAACTGGGAGGCTGAATAAAATGTTCAAGGCCAGCGTGAGGGAACATCAGAAGAGAAAATGTGGGCACCAGACGTGCTGTGGAAGGAAAGGCTCCTCCAGCCTCTGTCATTTAGGAGCTAAAAATATGAGACACAGAGGCCTGTAATAAACTGAGCCCAACAATGAGCCGCCTGCAACACTGATAGGTGCCTCGTTAGCATCCTTCATGTCACCTTGTCTCCTTTGGCTACAAACAGAGAGCATTCTGGGACACTGCCCGATGGACATTAAAGCCAGTGAAGTGTGCGATCAGGCTGCCTCCGTCCTGATGACTGAATTATTGTTATCTGTATTGTTGTGTTAATGGGGCGCTGGCATGGACGCGGCGCCCTCCTGCCAACTTAGTCAGCCATCTAATGTGCCCCGAGCGGAACACTTAACATCAGTCTGATCCCCGCTTTATGCCCCGGCCCTGTGAATTACTGAACCATCCATGTGTTTCATCTGCAAATGAGGCCGTGGCTCCGACCGCCGACACCTGTGTGACCAATTCATCAAGTCAACTACAGAGCTGAGACACGAGGTCAGACGTCTGAGGAGGAGACAACAAACACACATCTGACAGCGTGTCACGCACTCATCTGACAAGACGTTCACTGTCTCATGTTTAAACATGATCTCTGAACGTTCACGGAGCTGACAGGAAGTCACAGACGATCTGACTGTCAGCCGTCAAAGAGCGGGAGGGACACAATCATCACACAGCTGTTTGGGCTCCTGTCACACAGAAAAAAACATGTGATTTAAATTTCATTTTCTGAGTTTAATTTTTTTTATACTTCATTTTTAACAAGAACAGGACAGACAGACAGACAGAGGGAGGACAGACAGACAGAGGGAGGACAGACAGACAGACAGACAGACAGACAGAGGGAGGACAGACAGACAGACAGACAGACAAAATAAATATATAAAATAAAATGATTACTTGAATTCAAATGTGATTTTTTTTTCTTTATTATTCACGTGTTAGATTCATGTCAGTTCCATAAAATAAATGTCCTCCAGTGTCTCTGTCCCCTCAGAGACTCTTCACTCAGCCATTTCCTGCTCAGTGCATTTGTACTTCCTGTTTTTAATAGATATGTGTCATACATACATGTCATGCTTTAATGTTTCTCTGAGACACTGAGGCTGTGAGCTCATCATCCATCTGATCTCTGTGACCACGCCCACACTGTCACAAGACACTTTAGGACCCCCAAGCTCTCCAACACTGACCACGTC